TTTAGGAATAGCATGGTAGCGATCAACTTATTGCAAAGGATTATTATCAATCATGAACTCTTTAGTAGTATAATAACCCATACTAAACAATTTTAGTTAATGTGATTGAAATCTTTAAACGAGTTACTGTAGTCAATTCCTACTGCAACCGTCGAGTTTAATTGAAAAACAACGAGTGTGCTGAGGTCAGAGTTAAAATAGTTAAAATCGTATGTTTTTTTTTATTAAGATAGAAAAATTGGCTGCGTTTGGCAGAAAAAAGCGCTAGCAAGCGCTAGTAAGGAAAATGGCGATCGTAAGCGGTAAGCGCTGTCAAATCGTAAGTAGCTATTTTCCTCTAGGACACGAAGTTAGTTTTAACCGGGGAACCTAACCTAATTTAAATATATGTTTGTAAAGTATTCATATTAAAAACTTACCAATCATGAATTTTTAATAACATGTATATGTTTATTCATGTCATTATATTACTTAAAACTAATATTGCACAAAACAACTTAAATTTCTACTTCAAAACAAACAAATGAAAGAAGCAAAATGGCGGATTGTGTCAGCGCTACTGAAGTTAGCAAATGTGTCCTGGCCGAAAACTGTTTAGTTTCGCCATTTTGCTTACAAGCGCTTGCTAGCGCTTTTTTCTGTCAAACGCACCCATTTTATATAAAATTTTTAAGCATAGGTATGCACATATGATAATAGGTGAATTTAGTGATGAATTCTTAAGTTGCCACACCTCAGCGACTATGATGATGGATTCCAATAGAAAAAATGGATTTATTAAGATGTTCAACTCCATCGGAATTAGAAATTCTTCCAATATAAGAGCTGTTTAGATAAGTGGTAAAATTAAAAGATAAAGAAAATAATCATAAAAATCGATTCACCCAGAGAAGTCTGAGGTAACACATAAAAAAGATATAGTCGAATTGAATAACTCCTCCTTTTTTAAGTCGGTATAAAAACGTAATATTTGCGTTGGACTATTGATGTTTTGAAATTTAAACATAAACCTAGATTCAAGACAGAATAATCACAGACATAAAAATGGGTGTATAACTACAATTCGTCATGCTCTAATTAAAGCTTTTCTTCTTTCAAAAAATTTAATAGAGATTCATTACGCCATTTAGGAATCAATTTCAATAGACCCTCTATTGAAATTGATTCCTAAATTACATAATAGTTCGTTTCGAAATTTTATCCAACATAAAACGTGACAATGTCCTCTAGACCGAATTTCGGTCACAGCGGTCAGTCGCGACTGGAAACGAGCCACGAGTGTATGCGCAAGCACAGGTGCACTCTCATTGTTCAATGAGACTGGATACAAGGCTTTACGAGCTTTACGGGCTTTCCAAGGCACGAGAGTGACACACCGCCAACTTCTTGATTCCGGGCTATTACTGAGAATATCTTGACCAAAAAAATCCATTAACTGATTTCGGCCCGATCCGGGAATCGATTTACGACCACTAGACTAATGGGGCAGTCAAAAAACGTACTAAAACACACACAAAAACATCTGCTCACACAAGCTGGCACGAACGCATATGCACATGTTGTATTTAAATACGCCACGCAGCAGCCTTTGCACGTATGGTCCGAACCGGGGTGGTACCACGACCTCACAGAAGACCAGCGCGAAGTAGAAGCTTTGCTTCTGCATTTCGTCTAGTGAGTTCAGGTGGCCGGAGGCCCAATTCTCCCCCCCCCCCCCACCCACTTAACATGGTAGCGGAGTTAAATATAACACTGTGCTCAGCGGTGAAGGAATGTTTATAAAATAATCATGAAGAATCCGACAAGCACAAAATTTTTAGAAATATATAAAGTCCACCACGAACTGGAGCAGAGTGAAGAACTGTTTCGTGAGAGGAGGCTGTGGCCTGTGGCTATCAGTGGGGATAAAGTGTTAATTGAAGCGGTAACTTGTAAGATTTTATTTTACTTACGTTGAAGATATAAAAATTAGACATTAGCACTACGTCATCATCATAATTCGTCCGAATGACAAAATTACAACACATAAAACTATGTAAACATAGGTAATATTTCTTTCGGAAACATTAATAATCGAGGATAGATGTTAATGTTTTGCGCCACAGCATCCACTTACCTGTCAGGAGGACTGTCGGTTCGTTCGTCACCCTTTTTAGTCTATATTTTTTTTACTTATACTAAACACAGCTGTAGACTGTTAGAGCAGAATTTTGCATTTAATTGTGTTGATCGATTGGCACAAACATTTCTTTTCATAGTTCAGCGTGTCACAAACATTTCTTATAAACGGTGCTCATTTGCACGTAAATTGTCATTCGAATGGATGGTGAATGTGTGAATATAAAAAAAATGTTTGATGCGCACTGTGATCGAAGTTGTTTACTTTTATAATATTGTGGTTTTAACATGCTGTATTATTTTACCCTAATTTTTCCTATGACCAAGTAAATTATTATTAGATAGCAGAGAACTCGACTGAAATGATTTAATTATAAATTTTAATTAATAAGTAACACTTCATCATCATCATCATTACATCCCTTCACAAGGCCATTTGCTGAACATATGACTCCCCTAAGGAACACCACAAACTGCGGTTCGGCGCCACTTCCATCGACCTCGTAACTGCATAAGTTACCGGGACGTCACTCCACTTAGTCACAGATTAATAAATAGTACCTAGTGTAGTACTTATACTTAGGTATAAGTATTTAATAGACAAAGATACAATTTGTAATCACTTTACTACTGTTTGCTAGTTTGAAGCGAAAGTGTTTCCCCGGTTCATTTCTTTCTTCCTCAGAGTCAGTCATTTCACTCGCATGCCGTGTGGTTGCCAATATTTGAATCTTATGCATCAATTTCACACTATTACCAATAAACCTTACCTTTTTTTTTTGGAAACTAATGTGCAAAATGCATGCGGGCTGTTGAAGCGTCTGAAATATTCATACAGTGTGGGTATGAATATTCGTTTTAATATGCAATCGTGGTTATACAATCAGAACGGAGCGCCCGGCTGTTTGTACGATGTGCTCCACGTACATGTGCACTTCCGTAATGATTTCAAATATTTTGTACTTGCCAAAATACTTAGGTTTGTATATGCAGGCGCGTTCTTAAATAACAGGGCACCTAAGTACGATTACAAAAGTATTTAAGATTCTTGTTGGCGGGTAATGAAGGTGAGGAAGGGGGTGGAAGTCGTAAGAGGCGACGGCAGGAAACTGAAACCGGAAATGGGTAGCTGCATCTTTCTGATACAAAACTGATATTGCCAATCAGCTCGCCAAGCATGGCATCCACGGCGATTGAGATAAAGAGTACAGCAGTGAGCTTTTGAAAGGTTGTAACGATGATAATTAAGGGTTCTGGAATTTTTTTACGTGGTAGAGCCACGCTGCAGCTATGTTATAGTTGCTGCACAAAGAGGTCGGCTGGACCGGGGAAGGACCACACTCTCACAGAATACCAGCGTAAAATAGCAGCTTAATGCTACTGTGTTTCGTATGGTGAGCGTAGAGAACTGAATACTCTTTTTACTGGAAACGAGCCATTCCGTCTCAATCCTCAGGGGTGACAATGCATCTGTATTTTGATTCCTAATTGAGGATAAATGTAAACGTTGATGGACCACTGCATCCACTTACCATCAAGTGGACTGTGTTCTCGTTTGTCACCTTTATACTATAAAAAAAGTTATTTAAACCCTTCGACCCATCGCGTTCCAAGAGGCAACTGTGGAAAACGCTAAAAGTTCTCATAGCTTCCAAGACTTACGGTATAATCATCAGGTACGTTCAGAACATAATATGCCAGACCAGCACAGCCAGCGTCAAAGGCGCGAGACATGCGCGACTGTCAATTCAACTGCTAAAGCGTTGCGATTAAAGTAATTCCCCAACAAGTGTCTAACTTTGAACTCTTACGTGTTGAAAAAAAGGAATAGGAAAATAAAGAATTTGTGTTCAATAACTTTTAAACTTTTTTTAAAATAGCGTAGGACACTTCTTCAATACTATAACAGCCCAGCCACAAGTCCACTGCTGAACATGTTCCTCCTCCAAAGAATGTCACCGAGCACGGTCTTAGGCCACCTATCTCTATTACGTAGGTTATGTGCTTAAAGTTAGTAGGTTATTTCCGGAAGCTTTTATAAGGACTTCAAATATTTTAAACACGTAGTATACTTAAAACATTTGTGATATGACTCAACCGGGGCAGGACCACGCTCTCATAGAAAGCCAGCGTAAAATAGCAGCTTAATGCTGCTGTGTTTCGTTTTTTGAGTGTAAAGAACCGGAGACAGTTTTCACTGAAAACGAGTCATACCATCTTAGTCCTCAGAGGTGACAACGCATCTGCATTTCGATTCTTAATCGAGGATAGACGTAGATGTCTATGGGCCGCAGCAACCACTTGCCATCAGGTGGACTGTGTGCGCGTGTGTCACCTTCTTATTCTATTTGAAAAAAAAAATTTTATATAATGATTTCTTAAATTTAAGCGAACACTACACATTTAATAAAACTATAATTTACGGATTTTATCGCGTTTAATTGCTTTAATTTATTTTTATTATACCGGCGTTTCGGAAAAACTTTTATATGCCCATTGAGCTATTATGTACTACGTACGTAAGTACATATTACTTCAATGTATATGCCAGTGTTTTACTACAGCGCACTGATATCTTAACAAAAACCTATTCACTCTTGGCCAAAAAATATGACTAATAAAGATAATTAAAAGATTCGGATAATTTGTTAATTTAGTATCAAGAGTCTTGGGTCATAAGCCTTGAGTCCTTAGCAGTTTCCCTGTCCGCGATATTGACGCAATACACTTAGAAAACAAATAACAACAAAACAAACGTAAAGAAAACAAAAGGCGGTCTTATTACTATACGGCAATTTCTTCTAGATAACCTATAAAAAGGAAATAAAAAAGAAGAGCAAACTTAATGTTAAATCATATGTGATAAAAAATTATGAACTTACAGTTTCTCCTCCAGCATGCAGTCTGGTATATTACTACAGCGCTGACTCTCGCTGTCGACATCTTTGACCTGCCAACATGAAAAATGCTACTATGTATGTTTGTATAAAGAAACAAATGCAGGCAGCGAGACCTTTGAAGAATATGTCTTTAATAGATGTATTGCTATCCAGCTTTGCCTCAAACCTCCCCGTATAGTGCGCGAGAGAGAACTGCAGCTTGGACCTATTTAACTTTTGAAAAACTGCTTTCTCCTCTAAAAAGAACCGATTTCTTATACATGGTAGAGCCACGCTGCAGTTACGTATATTACGGTTGTAATTAGGCTCGATCACGGTAGGATCACGATGTTAAAGAATACAGCAGTGTTTTGTATGGTGTGTATAGAAAACCGGAGACCTTTTTTTATTGAAAACGAGGGATTGCATCTTAGTCTACGGGGTCTAAAACGCATCTGCATTTAGATTCTTAATCGAAGATAAGTTTAAACATCTATCGACCACAGCATCCACTTACCATCAAGTGGAATGCGTGCTCGGTTGCCCTTATATATATCTAATAAAAAATAAGTAGGACTGAGGATTAAGTACATAAAGCCCCAACCAAACCCCCATTTAGAATTAGAATATAAAAAAAAATTTTGGTAATTTATAAAAATAAAAACATAACAAAAAAAAAATAAAATAGATTATTCCCAAAAAAAAAACCACCCTGGGGAAAAAAAAAATGCCTCGCAGCCTGTCGTGATAATGCTGACTCTGTTATACCCTTCAGATCGAAACACAGCTGTGCACTTTTTTATATTACAAGCACTGGCTTAAATGCAATCCCACCGGGTAGCAAGTGGTGGTGAAGCCCTAAATGGTAAATCATACTGTTTTAGCGAAGCATATTCAGTCTTGTCTTGAAGACACCCAGATTGTAATCGAACGGGAAGGCAGACGCCGGCAAATTATTAAACTCCTTTACTGTACTCATTATGAAAGACAAATCAACAAAGGGGTAAAGACCCGTCGATCGTTAAGTGTATAACTATTTTAACTTTTATATACCAGTGTTATACTACTGTCTTATGTGATTGTAAACGGTGATGTACATGAAGTAGTAAAGCGCATTGATAGCTTATTACGTGGTAGAGTCATGTTGCAGCTATATTATGGTTGTAGCACGAATGGGTCTTGGTCGACCGGGGCTGGACCACACTCTCACAGAATACCAGCGTAAAATCTGCTGTGTTTCGTATGGTGAGTGTAGAGAACCGGAGACTCTTTTTACTGGAATCGAGGCATTCCATCTTTGTTCTCAGGGGTGACAACGTATTTGCATTTTGATTCTTATTTGAAGATAAATGCGGATGTCTATGGTCCACAGTATCCACTTACCATCAGGTGGAACTGTGTGCTCGTTTGTCACCCAATACTATAACAAATAAGTACGTTTCAATTTGCGGGTTTTGTTTTTCAAAGTAGAATTATTATACAATAAAACACAGGTTAAACAAGCTACTGTGAAAACTTATTTGAGAAATAGCTTGGAAGCGACTACCTTATACCCAGGGGTTATTATCAACCATGTATTCATTTACGTTGTAATAACCTTTTTAAACAGTTGTTTGGCTAATAAAATATTTAAACTTGGCAACAAAGAAATATTGTATGTTTTCTGTGACTTTGTTGTAATTACGAATACGAGTACATTGCCCATGTATAATTACTGACGCAGTGGAGTGGAGAAACTGGTATCATAACTTTTGTTTATTCGGGTGTTTACAGAGTGGAAATAATTTTTTTTTTTAATAAAACTACTTTTATTTTTGTGAACATACATAAAATTTTCGTAACTATACTAAGGGGCCACAGTTAATATATTCATTTCTTAAAATATTTATCTGAGAGACTCTCTCAGTCTTAGGTTCTAAAAAGTTCTTACCCGTCTTCTTTGTCCCTATTCTGCAAAAAAATAGTTTCTAAATCAGTCGCATTTACATATTTAGGTACCACATTCATAGCCAACTACACAACATGTCCTCAAAGTATTTTACAACACAGAAATGTAGGTTTCTCACGATGTTTTACTTCACTGCCGAGCGTGCCGGCTGGGTATTGAATTCGAGTTTCTCGGGTATTACGTTTAGTAAACAATATATTCAATCATTCATCATACAATCTATCAAAATTCCACTGCTGCAAATAGGCCTCCCTCAAATATTGCCTCATTGCACAGTTCATAGCTTAAACCTACTGTGTTTCGCTTTCTTATGGTGAGTGTAGAGAACCAGACAGCCTTTTTACTGGAAACGAGGCATTTCATCTTAGTCCTCAGGGGTGACAACGCATCTGCATTTTAATCTTAATCGTAATAAATGTTGATGTTTATGGACCTCGATATGCAGTTGGCATCAGGTGGACTGTGTGCTCGTTTGTTACCCTTATTCAATAAAAAAACATCTGTTTCAATTTCTTGATGTCGCCTTTGACACCCACGGGATCATATAGAGTAGAGTTCTCTTATAATGCCACTACACGACTAGGGTTGCCAGGTTTTAAAACCGAAACGCCGGACATTTTGGTAAAAAGGCCGGACACCCTTAATTTTTACAATGCTTTCTTTCTTTTACCATAAAACCTTCTTGAATTCTAATGAAATAACAATAATATTTAATAATTCAGTCTTCTTTATTATTAATCATTCTCTATTCATAAGAATATTAATTTCAACAATTGGAATAGTATGTACGTAATACATGAAAAAAGAAAAAAAAATGTCAAATTTAAAAAGCCTAACAAAAGCCGGACACCGTCTAATTTGGCCGGACACGCAACCAAAAAGCCTGACTGTGTCTGGCTTTATCCGAACGCCTGGCGACGCTGTACACGACATGTTAGTAATATATAAAACTAGCGGTCTGCCCCGGCTTCGTACGGGTGATATCTGGATTCTACAATAGCGCTACCTACCGGGTCCAACTATGCCTATAACCTTCGCAAGTGCAAGCAATATGTTGAGAAAGTTTTACATACAAAATAGTACGAACAAACAAAATATAATTATATAAACACATATATATATATATATATATATATATATATATATATATATATATATATATATATGTGTGTGTGTGTGTGTGTGTGTTATCAAATGGTCTGGCGGTCGATTATGAGGACAACATCACACCGTTGTTGTTGTGCTTTGTTTTTGTTTATTTATATCAATCATGACATGCGTTATAATCACGTTAATGATATAACGTTGCTAATGACATCAAGCGGCATTGTGACGGACAATGCAGATCGCGATGAGATAGCACACGCAGCCGCCGACAATTACCTACCGGTGAACGTACACAAATATGGTGATTCAAAACATTCGTACGACCGCGAACTCCAGTAGTGAAATGATAATGCCCAAATAGTGCTGCGGTCCGGAGGTTCTAAACCCTGATAAAGCTTATATTTGTGCATCGAGGAACCAAAAGAGCAACAATTACTAGCTATTATTAACATCATTTGAAGCATAAAATACATCTTAAAATGACTAATCTTTGACTTTAGCAAATTTTATTTATCAGGTTTATCAGGTATCATCTGTGGCTACATATTTGCATGACGTTTTGACCTTCCATTCTTTTATTTATGTCCTCCAGAACGAATTTCGATTACGAAGGCCAGTCTCAAAGCGTCTGTCAAAAGTCTCTGCGCAGAACAGGATTATAGTACCTGAGTGTATACGCAAGCACAGTACACTCTCTATTCCGCTCTCATAGTCCTTTGAGATTGAGACGGTAGTCCGACAAGACTGGAGAGAGATCAGGCGGAGGACCAACGACTTTACGCGCTCTCTCAGACACGGGGGTAAAAAATATCAACTTTCTGACACCGAGTTATTGCTTAAAAATTTCTTGATAGAAAACCCCCAATAATCCACCGGTATAAGGGAACTCGACGTTACTATTAATACTAAGCTTTTGTTTGATCCGCATGTGGAAAATGTCATTAATAAATACCATATACGGAAAGAAGGCTATGAATTGTACTGTTCTCATCTTCATCTCCTCATCTTCTCTAATCTTTTTTTCAAGGTCCTTTCTTTTTTGAGAAAATCTATTTTATCGAGCCCTTTTTTTAGTATTTTTTAAAAACACGAAAATTTAAATTAAACTAATTGCACTCATGATTTTTTATTCAAATAACTAGTTCAGTGTTTTCTATTACGTCGCTAAGATCAAAAAATATTATTTGTATTTCATCAGTACGTAATTTGTAACTAAATATAATTTCCAAAACACACGAATTAAAAAAACCGAGCGACAAATACCGAGCAAAGCTCGGTCAACCGGGTACTTTATAGTATCCCATCAGGAGGCCTATGTCTAGCTGTTGACTTTTTATAGGCTATAACGGTAACGGTTCTGAAATTCCACAAAACTTTCTTTGTTTATAGAATTAGGGTGACAAACGAGCACACAGTCCACCTGATGGTGAGTGGATGCTGTGGCCCATAGACATCTACATTCATCCTCGATTAAGCATCAAAGTGCAGATGCGTTTTTACCCCTAAGGAGTAAGATGAAATGCCTCGTTTCCAGTAAACAAGGGTCTCCGGATCTCTACACTCACCACACGAAACAAAACAGTATTAAGCTACTATTTGACGCTGGTATTCTGTGAGGGCGTGGTCCTTCCCCGGTCGAGCCGAACCATTCGTGCTACAACTTTAATATCCCTGCAGCGTGAAGCTACCGCGTATAAACTAACTTCTACTTCCGTTTAAACATCCCAGGTCCCTTAATACTCAATCCTTAACAATTTATCCGAATTTGAAATTTTACAAACGTTTTATAATTTTGTGACGCTCCGTTAAAAAAAAATCAATTTTATCCGATTTTGCATTTCGCCCTATCTAAGAAAGCCAAAAGCTTTGTTTTTAAACAAGGAAACAGGGTCAGCTGTAACTTCAAGCAATATCTGCAATTGTATCACTTTCTTATACTTAATACAATCTTTTGTCGTAACAACAATGCAATGACAATCGCCGACGCTGAAGAGATTTCCCAACGTGGCGCTAATT